ATTTGGACTATGGTACTCAAGGTTCGAAGTTTGATTCACTCACCGGCAGCGATCACATTCTTCGCCCTTGGGAGCAAGCTCCCACCTTCCAGGTTGGGCCGCGAGGAGGGCCAAGAGACTCGCCGAAGTTCTTACCGTTCCCGGACGAGGAACAGGCGAGGAAGAGGGGGCTTCAACCCGTACCCGTTTGCGAGCGGGGGTGGGCGAGGACAAAGCGGACGAAGAGGAAGAGGACACCGATATTGGTGAAGAAGTTCGTCGATGTCTCTTCTTAGGAGACCGAAGGATGGAAGATTTTCTTCTTAAACTCGCCTCTTTCGAGGGAGCTTTTCTCTTGGCCGGAGTCGAGGATGGACCGGCGACGGGAGCGGGAGGCGCGGAAGACGAGGAAGACGCCGACAGAGAAGGGAGAGCGGCCGACAAGGAAGAGAGGCGAAGGCCAGCCGAGCTGGCAAGGCGGCGGACGAAGGACGAAGGAGGAGCAGGAGGGGGAGACTGGACCCGGGACACTAACATCAGCCATGACACGAAACTTCTCCACGAAATTCTTAGGCAATTAGAACTTACTGCTTCGAGTCCTTCGGGCAACGTTCGAAGGAGGAGATTTGACGAGTTTTCGAGGGGTAGACGGGGCCATGGTGGGTATGAAGAGATGAATTTAGTGAGAGAGTTGGTTGAGATGTAAGAAGAGAGTTAGAATTGAAGAAGTTAGGGGGGGAAGTTCGTCGACTTACAAAGTATAAGGGGAAATTCGTTGCTGTTGACAACAGATAAGGGCGTTCCCGTCGTCAACGTCGTGTTTCATGGAGTCCAGGATACCACGAAGATCCCTGGATACGAGAGAAAATTTTTAGGCTAAGGGGTTTCCTACTTGCACTCATGGATACTGCACTCACGAACAGATTATTGCTTCCCATTCCCCATACATAAAATTCCTCTATCATTGTCATATCTTCTTGTCACATACGAATTTCCCCCACGATTTTCCAATGTCTAGGAGGCAAGTTACGAAGTTCGGTAGATGGCGATCTTGTTGTGAGGAAGGCGGCGTAGCCAAAGGAGGTTTCAGATTTTCCTGGAATTTCATTACGGGAATTACATTGTCAGGAAGTTGGTTTGAGGAGAAGGGTGAGAACCGAACTTCATGCTGAGTTGTTTTGTTCTTTTCGGCGTTGATGTTCGCTCACGAGGACGTTCGCGCTCAAGGAGGGGGCGACTGTCACGCGGCGCCGCGTGACATTATCCTTTCCCATCAAACGAAGTTCCTTTGGACATCAGTTCGCCATCAACGACCCAGTTCGCATGAACTTCACCACCCACGAGGGTATTAGGAGGCTAACTTCGTCGAGGACGAAGTTAGTCATGTAGGAACTTAGGGGGATACGAAGTTAGGAAGATATGAAGTTAGGGAGATACGAAGTTAGGAGGATACGAAGTTAGGAAGGCACGAACTTCGTCGGGGACGAAGTTCGTGAGGTACGAAGCTCGGGACGTCGGGTTGAACGAAGTTCTGCGTTGACGAAGTTAGGGAAGGACGAAGTACTTAAGGGCCGAAGTTCCCAGAGATCTTTGACGATCTCTGGTTGTTGTCTTAGTGATAGAAGTTAGTAAAGTACGAAGTTATTACACCCAGAAGTTATTGTCACCTATTTCATATCTCGAACAACGAAGTTGGTAAAGGTCGAAGCCCACGAAGTTATTGGCCGTCGGTCGTAGGAAGTTAACGAAGAAGCAACCCTGTGACAGACAATAGCATTGGACAATGCGGCTTGGGATTTAATGGGAGCATCTCGGGGAGCAACACGACGTAGTTTGCGAGATCCGGAGAGGTCAAAACCAACTTCGTCAACATTGTAGATGTTTTCAGGTCGGAAATCACCAGTTTCAAGTGTTTCTTTGACCTAAAGAAGTTAGCATTTGTCATGAAACTGAAGAGAGGAATGAGCTACTCACAAGAGACAGGAAAGCGATCCTGTTTGATGGTGTGTTTGCCCGGAGCCTCGCAACCTCCTGAACTCGATAGAACTTAGAGGAGACACGATCCTGATATCGCTTGAGAAAAGTGGAGGTCCAGTTTACCCCAAGGGTCTCAAGACAGAGGGATTGTGCGAAGTGACGGACATGTTTGGGAGTGAGGAGGGTACCCCTGGCTGCATATTGGTTTATCTTCTCCAATACAGCTTCTTCCTGGATGATGGAGAGACGACGATGGGTACGGATACCGGAGGGGAGGTGGATTCCATTCAATCGGTCATGAAGAGTGACATGGGAGACACCAAACTGAGCTGCAACTTCTCGCAAGCTCTTGGAGGGATTGGCCTGTTTATATGCAAGGGCTGCCTCCATTTTGGGTGAAGGTAGGTATGTGAATGATTGTCCAGAAGAAGAATGAATGTCAACAAAGGTGGACGCGATGAGACGCGTAAACAAATTGTTCGAACAATCCGTGCGTTCGAGGACCCCGTGGGAACGAGTAGCTTGGTAATTATTTCTCCGATGTCCATCTTGCTACATAACGAAGCGGCTCATGAATGGACGCACGGAACCGAGGTCTTGAGTGGAAGTGCCTTCTTGTGATACTGAGGGCGTCAGACCAACGCCAAATGACATTTTCATATCCATGTGCACTTCACTTATACTGAGGAGAGTGACCATAGTAGTAGGAGTGCTTGGGAAAATCCTTTCTGCATGCATGTCTCACTAAGTTGACACCCTCTAAGGCCGCAGAAGTTATTTGTCCTCTTCAAATTATCAAATAGTCTCTGGTTTGCTGTGTATCAGTAGAATATTGTAAGTATAGAGACATGTAGATTTGATGCATGCACTTTTCCCCCTTGTATCATCATCTAATTGTGAGCAAACAACCTGGGCGTGACACACTCATTCCGTGCGCTCCCTTCTGGTCACATTCAGTCCTGCTACCCATGATGGTACAGTCACTGACCCTGTCCGGATCAGAATGCACAGGCAGCCATTCCTGTTCCAAGAAACGTGTGTTGAGGACATCCTGACTAGTACGCATCAAAGAAATAATCAAAATATGTAACAAGATAATGACTATAAACACATGGACAGTGAGTACTGTGTGCAGGGTATCTTGGAAGGCGGATACCAAACCAAGAACACCACAAGACATCTCTCAAAGCAGAAATAGATAGACAATGTTTGTGTCTCGATAATGGGACAATCATGCCTCTGAGACTGCAAATAGGGTGAACATGGATGTCTCTATGAGCTAGTCGACACAAAACGGATGTGTGGACCATTGGTGTGGGGATTGGTCATACATACAGTATGTACATAGATTGGTAAAGAAGCGTAAAGCTCTGGCAGGATCCGGACCTCTCCGGAGGTGAATGGCCTTTGGCTGGGTCCAAGATGTTTTGAACTGTGCAAATCCGGAGCTGAACATATCCGGCCGCGTCCCCAACATCTACACCAATCGGTCAATCGTGAATCTGAGATACTGCACCAACCCGTCCATCCTTTTAAAAATCATCACCTTTGTACGGCTGAGTTTACTCCTTACCTCTGAGTGGGACAAGTTGATATGGGGTTTTTGACACACCTAATCTTCTCTCAACCTTCTCATCACTTTTTGACCTCCTCACTGACCAGTGAGCCCATCCTACATGGAGTTCAACCACCCCAATTCTGTTTCTGACGCCCTGGTTCTGCTTTCACCCACTACGATACGGAACCATGCTCTTCGGCGTCGTGGCACAGTATATATAAATTGTTATCTCAAGAGGCCGTTTGAGGAATGTGAGCCCAGTCTTCTACCAAGTGTGGTGGTGAGATATGATTCAGAATCAGTATCCAATGAGGCCCAGAAAGAATTCTGGGTGGATGTAACTTCTATTTTCCTTACCAATGCCTTGGGTGAAAATTCTGAAGATGCCCATCGTGTCTTACTCCCTGTGGAATCTTTGGCTCATGCTTTAGCGTTCAAGGTCCTCACCCGTGCTTTCCATGCCGGAAGCACAGATGCAATGCAGACTGATCAAATGGTGACTGAGGGTTTGGCAAAAGAGTTGAGTGCAGTTTATCATTTGATGGACCCTGACGGGATTTTTGGAATACCACCCAGAGTCAAATCAGTTTTTGATCTCACGGAAAACATGATGTATGATGACTCCGGTAGGAACTTTGGAAATATACGAGATCAAGCCCGATACCCACTTGCTTCTATAGAGGGGCAGGCAGCTCTAAATCCTCCGTCTGAAGATGATGAACATGATCCTTTTGAAGATGATCCTATTGGAGATGAACTCATCAAGGACTGCGATTTCCTCTGGATTTCGTGTTACTTTCGGAGGCGTGTCTCTGCTTCCAACCCCACTCCTGAACCATATACGTTGGTACAATATGATCCGGCATCAACAACCACTCAGGCTCAGCTCGAATGGCGCTTGCAAGTAATCTCTGACTTTCTTGGTAATCCGGCGACCAACGTTACTGAAAATACCAGGCAAATCTCACTTGGCCCAGATTCCTCTGCTTGTCTCAGGGTTCTCCGTGACTTTTCAACCTGTTCATTGGATAGACTCACAGATGCACAAGCACGTCAGATTGATAAAAGATTGACTGATGGTCTGGTGCAAGAGTTAAGTGAGTACTACATAGGGAGAAACCCTGAGAAACGTTATGGTCCTTCACCGGTGGTTGATTCATTATTTGCTCTGGAGGAAATCCTCCCTGATCTGCGCGCCGCACTGAACCGTCAAAGTCAAACTCATGGTTGAACAAGACTGAGTGATGGTGGTGTGGGAGAATCCCCATGGACAGAAGACAAGAAAGTTTGACATGCCTTAGCAACTATGTAGAGTTGAAATGATGATTCAATGCATCTGCAGAAGGGATACTAGATGTAATTTTTTGATGTTGCAAAGATACTATGACCTGGCATTCCTTAGATTTCAACATGTAGCACAAGATGACTTGCAGGAAGGCAGAACCACATTTTTGAGCTGGGCTGATTATCACAATTATCCTTCATACAGTAATCACATTGACAGAAACTTGACAGAAGAAAGCTGTGATGCTTCAGAGATCACTAGCTAAACATCACACCATGAAAAGGAAGGGTTCACCCATAAACCTGAGATACAAACCCTCTATCCTTTCAAGTAACATCACCTTTGTCTAGCTGAGTCAACTCTGTAATCCTGATTGAATAACAACACAGAAAGTTTGTGTTTTGCCACTGACAGTCTGATTTATCTTTCTACTTTTTTTCCCCATCATTATCAGGATCCAACAACTTTGTTTCTTTCACTAATGAATTTTACAAACAATACTCCTACCACTACCCAAACTCTACTCTCAAGATCTTCAACCTTGAATCCTGTTCAGCATCACCAAGATACACTTTATCTGAATCTATGTTTCATAGAGAAAAAAAGATGATGACCCTAATCTTAGTAACAAACCCAACCTTAGTGAGGAACCTTATTCTGTTGTCAGGTCAACAAAGATAGATGTTGACATCTATAAAGTCTCAGCGTGATATTTTCAGTACTCTAAAGTATGTTCCGGGACCTTCCTTCTTTCAGATGATGATGCTTCACGTGAATTTTTGGTTATCACAATTTCCATACTTTCTTCATTCGTGTTTTTGAATCAAGATCCTCTCAAGATAAAAATGCAACATTCTTTCTCGGATCCTTTTGACTTAGTCAAGTTTCTCAAAAAAGGAAAACAATGTTTTCAACTTGTTGATGATACCTCAAGCACTCAATTGATGGAAGGTTTGCAACCAATACTTTGATGCAATAGATCCACAAGGTAAATTTGCTGAACCATCTGTTATCTTATCAGCACTTAATCTTCCGGGACACTGAAAAACGTTTTGATCCCCGTTTATCATAATCTTTCATTGACAAAGTATCCGTGTTGTCAGATGATAGTATAGATCAGATACTGAAGGAATGATGCCACAGATGACATGAGTGCTGGGTATTTATAGTTGTTAGGTGATGATGTACCGAAGACAAGTCCAATGAGCAATAACCTGATAAGCTGCACCCCTGTCATGACCAGTACTTATAGCGAGATCAGCTCTCACTAGCAGAGTTGATATTGAGCCTTTTAGGACGGTTTATGATCGCGGGCTCGCTACCCGGTCATGACAACCCCATCTCCTCTTGATACAAAACAGAAAGGGACCGCCTCTTCTCAAGTGTAAAGTTTCTCAGAATCCACAGGATATCTAAGAACATGGCAGGTATGTTTCTGCGGGACATGGATCTTCAACCAGTCTTATACCCGTGACAATTTGAACCGTCACATCATCCGTACATCACCTAATATATGTCATGGATATGTCCAGAGACATGTACTTCCGGAAACACATTCAGAACCTTTATCAGATGCATAACCATCAAACAACTTTTTTATCCAGACCATTCTTTAAACATACCTTCTAAACTCCTATTGATCATACTCGATGGTAAACTCCTTACTATATCCTCAACTTTCTCCCAAACTTTTTCTACTTCTTCTTCACCCACTTTCTTAGCGTAATCAGTCGTCAATCTGAACATTGCTAAAACGGCTAAAGAAACATGTGTTTGATGTGAAGTATATGGAGAATCGGAACGGATCAAACTTGATTCGTATTTCTTCTTTATCTCTTTATCCTTTTCCATCTCATCATTCGAGAGTTCGTTCTCACTATTCTTGACCTTGACATCTTTATCATTGGGAGTCGGTTTTTGAGTTTTGGAAGAAAGAACGTTTTTCGATTTATTATTCTCGATATGGATAGAAGTGGATTTAATAGGAACTGGAGGATTCCTATCACCTCTTGTTAAACGTAATAAAATCTCTAACATATCCCCTGGATTCTCAAGGAGAGATTTTACGAATTCTTCTCTTGTCGAATTTGTTCCAGAGGTCGAAGTCGTAGACCAAGTTTCTAAGATCGTCTCGAGAGTAGGAGGTGGATCAGGATCTACTATTTCTAATTTACCAAACCATCCTGTGGAATGAGAATGTGAATGTGAAGAAGATGAATTAGATGGGGATATGGAAGATGATAGAAAAGGGAATTGATCGATTAACCATTCATCGGCTGAATTATTTCGACACCATTTAGGTTCTGATAATGGTCTTCTTTTATTGAGGTGAACGGTTAGGATTATTCCTTCTTCTTTCGATGTGGTTGATTTCGTTTTGGACGACGATGTTTGGATGGAAGATTGAGAAGTAAGTTCGGAGAGGAGATGGAATGGAGGTAATGAATCGAAAGATGTTAGAGAATATGTGGAATGGAGTTTGGACCATGGGACTGAGATGAATCGTTGATCTGTCGGATCATACATTTCAACCTGGGATCAGAATCATGTTTAATGGGACGAGGATATACATGAGCGACTGATAAAGGGAGTCACCGTCATGAATATCGAGATACAGTCACGATGATAGGCAACGACAGCCCATCTTGGGAGAAACGATGGGCAGCTGGGAAAGCATAACCTTTGATGCCATCTCCCGCACGGCGGCGTCGCGGTGGTGCTAATGGTAATGGTAATGGTAATGGTGGTGACGGTGGAGGTGGTGGTGGTGGGAATGGTGGTGGGAATGGTGGTGGGAATGGTGGTGGGAATGGTGGTGGTGGTGAAGATAAGATACAGTGGGTGGTACACCTGACATATGCGTAGGATTGAAAATGAAGAGAATCGTTCAAGTGAGGACGAGAATGTGATTCAGGAAGCTAAATACGCGGGCCCCACGAAGAAGGAAAGACAGATACACGGTAGAAATAGAAGAAAAACAAAGAACAAGACTCACCAGAATACCCTTTGGTAATTCTCCTTTTTCTCCTTCCCCATCCTTCCCTTCCTTCCCCTCAAACTTATTCTTCTCATCCTGACCCCCAACCCCAATCCCATCCCCATCCCGAACCCCAACCTTCAAAACAACCTCAATCTTCCCTTCCCCCCTAAACACCCTAACAGTCTCAACAATCTCAGCATCAAGACATAATCTCCTACTACTATCTTCATATAATATACTCAACCTATTAAGTGAAGGTTGTGGAATATCATCATCGAAACTTGATACACTAGAATGTCTAGTACGAGGTATATCTGATTCTTCTTGAATATTTTCGTTTTGTTTGATCTCCGAAGCTGTCTGATCGATTGATCCATCCACAGAAACTTTAGGTACGTCGGTGGTGGTGTTTTCTACTTGGAGTGAATTGGGATCAGGAATGGATTGCATTGAGATATCACCTGGATTTTCTTCTCCTTCGACTTCAGATTGGACGGGTTGTTGGGTTCTTGTATCTTGACTCACGCCGTTCACTTGTTCATCTTGGACAACGAGACTGGTTTCTTGCAATTGAGAGGTGGTTTCTTCTGCGCTTATTGCAGGTACAGAAAGGGGAACCTCTACCTGCTCGGTATCACCAGAAACGGAAATCTCGATATTGTCACTTGAGTTCTCTACAACGCCCTGGGCTTCACCTTGGTTTTCTGTCGGAGGGAGTTGATCCTCTTTAACGGTCTCAGTGGTATTCTCAACATTGACAGTCGTCTCAGAGATTATCCCAACATTCACACCGATTTCAGACACATCTCCGACTTTCACACCATTCTCGGATCCAGCGACAAGAGAAGGTTCCACGACGAGCGAAGGATCAACATTTCCGGAATCAGGAACGACACTACTACTTTCCCTCCTTCCTCTCTTATTGGGATTACCCGACCCACTGGGAGCACTCGTCCCACCTCTACGAAGAGCTTTAGGAATACGATCAAGCTCTGGTGGAGATTCAAAGTAAATCCTGAAACGGTTTTGGTTGTTATCGAAAGAAGACTCGGTATTGAGTTTATTATGTGTCATTAAATAAACTGGACGTTTTTTGGGTGATGCGGAAGAGTCTTAATGATTAGCCTCACAATCCGGCTCTCAAACATCTCACCGGTAAAGAAACAAAAACATAGAGTAGACGCCATAATTATAGAAACGCAGCGAGGAATATGACGGGCACTCAAACGCAGAAATATAACGACGAGGGAATTGGGTTTTGACAGAGGGAAAGAAAAGAGAAAGGAAAGAAGATCAGAAGGGAATAAACAGACAGTGGAAAAATCAAATGAGTTAAAGGGAATATAAGGAATTGAAAAAATAAAAACCCGAACGCACCCCCATCGGTACCCGGAGTCTCTGCTTTTCTCTTTGATCCAGCTTTTTCTCCTTCTCCAACGTTAGAATCAACTTGTTCAGATTTGACCACCCCTTCAACCTCTTCGATCCCCGATCCCTCGACTTCACCATTGATTTCCTTTCCATCTTTAGACACTTTCAACCCTTCGATCTCTTTTTCATTCTCTTGTTTGACACTCGGAACAGATTCAATTTTCTCTTTCACACTTTCTGACTCTTTCACCTGCTGAGCAGTCGCAGTCGCAGTGGTTATCAAACTCTCCTCTTGACTCATCTCATCAGAAGTCATACCCCATTTCCAACCCAGCGAACTCATTTCAATCCCCACAATCCTGAAATCCGTCATTGTAGTTTTCATTTCCCTATCTCCTTCCCTTCTTCTCTTTTCCCTCTCTTTCTCTCTCTTCGGAGTAGACTCTCTATCTTTTCTATCTCTGCGCTGTCCACTCGGACCTTTTGGAGCATTCACAGGACCTTGATTAACATTACGAACGATACCCCTTGTCCCTGTAAAAGGATTAGGAGGGAGGTTATTCGCCCCCGGTCCTAGATTGATAGAGGGACGAACGGGTTGGGAATTTCCTACACGCATGATATTTTGATTCTGACGGAAATTCTGATTAGGACGAGGACGAGGTGGGTTAGGATTAGGATTTGGAGCATTCATAGGTCCTACACCTACACCGATTCCCATACCTCCCATACCACCCATCCCTCCAACTCCACCTTGCATACCTTGTACACCTTGTACACCTGGCACAACATGAATACCTGGCATACTCTGCATACCTTGTTGAGGTGGTCCACCCGGTTGATGTGATGCCGGTCCAGTGGGAGCAGCTGGACCGTCGAATCGAGGTCGTTTGGCGGGTGGGAAATTACCAGGAGGATTGTTCATAGGTGGTCTACCACCTATTCCAGGACGTACAGATCCAGGTTGGAATGGTGGACGTTGAGATCCGATACCAGGACCACCATGAATAGGTTGGTTCGGATGTTGGTGTTGATTTTGTCCTAGACCAGGTCGGAAACCACCACCGAATGGTGGACGAGGACGAAAGTTGGAAGACGGATTGAAACCTGGACCACCTGGAGGTCTGAAACCCGGTTGAGGAGGTTGGGGACCACCCTGCCATCCTCCAGGAGAAGGAGTATTGTATGTCGGACCGGGTGAAGTGGTCGGATAAGTCGTTGTACCCGGTGGGTTGTAAACTTGACCAGGACCATTGTATTGGGGAGCGGCGGTGTAAGTGGTAGGTGCGGCCGAGATGGCAGGTGGTGCTGCAGCTACGGGAGGTTGTTGTGGTCCATATTGGGGTGGTCGGAAGGATGGACCGGAAGAAGGGAATGGACGAGCGTGTATGGCGAGTGCACCGTAACCGTAGTTTGCATAAGGATTAGGTGTGGCTGCTGCGACGGTGCCGGGTGTGGTACCTCCTGTGGGAGCTGGAGTAGGTTGGACTGGTGCGGCACCTGGATATGCAGCGGGGGTTCCCATCCCTTGCGACTGACTGTCAATGTTTGTACTCGTCAGAAAAGAAGGATACCACATGAAGATAGAGGCAGAGCGACTCACCTGATAATACGCCGCCCAGGCTGCGGCATGAGCAGCTTGAGGATCTTGAGCGCCATATGGGGTCGGGCCGGAAGGCAATGGCGGTTGGTTGTTCATTTTTATCTCACGTCGTTTTCGCAGTGTCTACGAGGTATCTCGATGTTACTGTTCTGTCCTCCACAGCAGCGTCTCTCTTACCCGTCACCGTTTGAGCTGGAGAGAGGGTTGTGGGTGAAAGAGCGATAGATTGAAGAGAAGATAGGGCAAGGGAGGGAAGGGAAGAAGTGGTTCTTACGGGGGAGGGGGGAAATGTGACGTGTCATTTCACGTGGTAGAAGCTTATCACCCGCCACCAACCACCGCGTAAGTGTTCAACCTTGAACCCATACATCTCTCTCTACCTTTTCTATACCTTCTCTATACTATACATCATGCCCGTACCAGCAGTCACCACCAGTGCAGGTGAGCTCTCGGATGGTGTGTGGTTAGTTTCCTGGCTGACAATTCAGCTGGCTCCCTACAACTGCTCGAAGACGAAGATCAACATGTCCGTCTCTATGCCCTCAATCATCTCTTGGCTATAGTCGCACAGTTTTGGGCAGAGATAAGTGACAAGTTGTCTTATCTGTGGGTCGGCCCCTCATGACTGCTCAACTTGCTCGACTGACCCTCACCACAGACGCTGACTCGCAGGGAACTCCTGGCTGATCCCCTATCCAAGGAACTACCAGCAGAAGCCACACCTTATGCCGCGCTACTCGTCTCAAAGTTGTATTACTACGTCGGTGAACTGGGAGAAGCGGTAGAGTTCGCTCTCAGAGCTGGCAAAGCGTTCGCAGCAGAACCACAAGGAGAATATAGACAGACCATCATTGGTATGTTCACCCACCCTGCTTCTTCATATCTTCTTCTTTCTTCTCTCCCTCTTTCCATCCTCCTTACTATACACATCTCTGCTCTGACTCCCTGTCGTAATTGAACCAACACTGATGAATAGCTGGAAGTATAGACAGAGCTATCGCGGAAACCAATTCTGGTACACCGATCGACCCCAATCTCCAAACTATCATTGATACAGTGTTGTCTCATTCCACCCAAGACAACGGCAAGCTCGTAAGTCATTGACTATCAGTGTCACATGCATAACTGACAAAAACAGGCGATTGGATTAGCTCTCTCTCTTCGTAAACTCGACGCTATAGAATCTATCTTTCTCGCTTCACATACTTCTCCAACCGAGTCGGAACACGACGAAGGCTTGTTGAGATATGTATTGTCCGAAGCTGTCAGTGGGTCAAGCGGCAACGATTCGTGGCCAGAGGAATTTAGGACCGCTGTCAGTTGCTCCTATTTCTCGACGTTCCCCCCGACCGCTTTTCACACTTGACTACGATTCTTTCACCGGATTCTTGCTTGGCTTGAGACGTTGTCTAAAGGATCATTCAACTCGGCTAATGCTGATGTACAGCTCTTCAAACTGCTACTTCAACTATTCTCCTCGAACCCAAACCCCGATTGGTTCTCCATCACTATCATCTGGCTTCAGTTGAATGACCACCAATCGTGTGCTAAAACTCTTTATCGCCTGCTTGGGGAAGGGAAAAAGGCCGAAGCGATTCAAATCGGGTTTGACCTTTACGAAGTGGCCCAACCGAGTTTCGTGGATGAAATGATATATGCGTTGAAAGGCGAGGGACAAGGCGTTTTTCCCGTGAGTGTTCAGTATACATCTTCGAACTTCTTCTTTTGATCCTCGCTGGACTTCCTGTCCTCGATTGCACCGCCCCTGTCTACGTTTACAATTCCCTCCCCTTCTGCCCTTTCGTGTGTAGTTTCCGTCTTGCGACGTGCCCAACGCCGAAGAGGACATGGGGAACATGGCGAAGGACAACATGATCCGTATCTGACGCTCAGCCCATACCAGGATTCGCTGACCTCGTTCTCAAAGTCCTCAAGGGTGATGTGGTGACTGAAATGAGACTCAATTTCCTGCAGAAAAACAACAAGACTGACATGTCTATTCTGAAGGTGACCAAGGTGCGTTGCTTCTGGGCCTTCCCTCTACCACTCTCTGAGCCGATCAACACCTTACACTTCCTCCTCCTCCTCCCCCCCCCCCCCCGGCGCGCGCCTTTTCATGATGCGTCAACAAGTTTGTCTGGTTTCAGCCATTGGTTGTGGTCGAACAATTCCTGGCGTAACGCTCACCAGTAGGACTCCCTCGAGGACCGCTACTCAATCTACCATTCCGCCATCACATTCACAAACGCCTTTGCGTCTTGCGGCACCACTTCCGACCGTTTCCTCCGTGAAAATCTCGACTGGCTCGGTCGTGCCTCCAATTGGGCCAAGTTTTCTACTACCGCCGCCCTCGGGTTGATCCACAAAGGCTCGTGGAGGAACGGAATGCGAGTCGTCAAACCTTATCTACCCGGTGGAACCGTTCCGAATGTGTATTCGGAAGGAGGGGCTCTGTTCGCTTTGGGTCTGATCTATGCTGGACATTTGCACGCCATGGAGGAGCAACAACTTGAAACGGCACTTACAAAGGGATTGGAAGAGGGTAGTCCTGTCGTCATTCAACATGGGGCGGCGCTTGGGTTGGGGGTGGCCGCTTTGGGTAGTGGCAGTCGGGGTGAGTTTGGCTTATTCTTTTCTTTCCTTCTCACCCCCGACATCTCATGTTGACCGGGCATGACCCATGTGAACCCCAAACGCCCTGCTCAATACAATGTTACTTCACAAGGGCGGACATGGTCAGAGTGGGTTGGTGATCAGTCACAATCATGCAGCAGCACTCAGTATCACCAACTCGGTGATGGAGGGTTTAGACTTGAGAACTTGAGCTCTGTTGTTTTGAGGGTCTCCACTGACCGCCCAGAAATGTACGAAGAAATCCGTAGTGCCCTCTACCAAGATGATGCCACCGCCGGTGAAGCGGCAGGTTATGGAATGGGTATGGTCATGATCGGTACTGCCGCCGACACTGCTCTAGACGAGATGTTGTCTTACGCTGGAGAAACGCAGCATGAAAAGATTATCAGAAGTTTGGCGGTGGGAATCGCATTTTTGATGTATGGTCAGAGAGAAAAAGCGGATGATGTGATTGCACGGTTGATGAATGGTCAGGTGGGTGACTATTCTGGCTATACATGAGTTCCCCTCGTATCTGGTCATATTCCACCACATACCCCCCCCACCCCTCCTTGGTCTCCGTATTAGTGAGGCTGCGCCGTTACCTCGGGTGCCATACCTTATGACCATGAGTCAGGGCGTAAACTGCCAGGTAGTGCTTTGGTGGACCTCTACGGCACGGGAATGAGGTGTAGCCAGACGGTCAGGTAGACACGTCTCGTGATTGCTTTGCTCGGAGTCGTATAGATGTGACGGCTGATCATCAGGATGCAATTCTTCGTTACGGAGCCATGTTCACCATCGCTCTGGCCTACGCCGGTACGGGCAACAACGCCGCTGTTCGTCGTCTTCTTCACGTAGCAGTGAGCGACGTGAGCGATGATGTTCGTCGAGCAGCCGTGACCGCCTTGGGATTCGTCTTGTTCAGAAACCATACCCAGGTTCCGAGAGTGGTGCAGTTGTTAGCGGAGAGTTATAACCCTCATGTGAGACATGGAGCTACCTTGGCTTTGGGAATTTCTTGTGTAGGGACTGGTTTGGAGGTGGGTCAGACGTTTTTTGCTATTCTCATCCTCTCTTGTGACTTGACCTTTTTACGTACTCTACCCCACTTCGACAATCTTGGAGTCATACATCTTGATTCCAAGAGAATCTACTCACAGCCTCCTTCCTTCCCTTCTCACCTTTGTCCGTGATCTGATTGGTGGTGATATCCACACTGCCATACTATGGTGTCGATGCTAAACCTTCAGGCCGCCATTGACCTACTCGAACCCCTCACACGCGATCCCGTCGATTTCGTCCGACAAGGAGCTTACATCTCCCTATCTCTCATTCTTCTCCAAGCTCCCGATTCACATCCCAAAACTCAATCCACCCGAGACCTACTTCACAAAGTCGTCAATGACAAACACGAAGACGCCATGGCTCGATTCGGTGCTTCTTTAGCCCAAGGAATCCTAGATGCCGGTGGGAGAAACGTGACTATTTCCTTATCGACTCGAGCAGGAACACTCAACATGCACGCCATCGTGGGATTAGCTCTATTCGTTCAATTTTGGTATTGGTTCCCTCTCGCTCATGGATTGGGTTTAGCTTTCACACCTACGACGGTGATCGCTTTAGACGAAGAAATGAGGATTCCAAAAGTTTCTTTCAGATGTGATGGTAAACCTAGTAGTTTCGCTTATCCAATTGGGAAAAAAGAAGAGAAAGAGAAAAAGACTGAAAAAGCAAAAGCGGCGGTTTTAAGTACTACCGTCAAAGCTCAAGCTAGGAAGAAAAGACAAGCGGGTGATGTGGAAATGGCAACTTCACCAAATTCTCCAATGACGATGACTTCACCTATATCACTTCCTACCGTCAACGATACCCCCAACAATATCATTTCTAGCATTGACGGCGTCCTCACCAACTCTAATGAGAGTGTGGAAGAGAAGAAATCGACTGTTAATATGGGTATGGGTGAGAATGAAGTCAAGGGATTAGGATCAAGTGGAAAGAAAGAGAAAGATAAAGATAAAATTTCTAAGAAGAAAGAAAGTATAGGATTCAAAGTCGAAAATATGACAAGGGTTTTACCTTCACAACTTGATTTATTATCTTTTGTCAGTAATGAGAAATACGTTCCGATCAGATCTTTACCTATTTGGGTAGAAAATCAATCTTTCGAAAACAAATCTCAACTTTCTCAAACTCAAACTCAACCTCAAACTCATACTCAAACTCAAACTGGAGTCAATCCTCAAACCCGAACGAATATCAAAAATGAATCTCAAGTAAAAGATATCAAGGATACGACAAAGGTAGATGGTAAAAGATGGGAAACGGGAAGTATAATAATCCTTCGTACTATCCCCAATCCCACTCTCGATTCAAAACAAAAAGAAGAAGAAGATGATGATGAAGAATATATAAATTTAGATTCACGTCTTTGGCCTGAACTAGTCATGAATGAGGATGATCAAACGGGAGAACAAGGTGATGGTGAAACGTTAGGTGAAGGTGATGAGGAAGATGAAGATGATGATGATGATGAAGGGGAAGAGGGGGAAGAAGGGGATGATGAAATTCCACCTTCTTTTGAATATCCTTTTTAGTGAATTGATTCTTTTTTTTCGCAAAGAAAAAGAGGGGTTGATATGCATTTGAAAACGATTTGTCTCTATCATATTAGACATGTTACTCTTGTGCAATGTGAGAAATGGAATGATGGAAGGGTTACATTTGGTACATCCATCGTACATGACTCCATCTCCTTTTCTGGACTTTTGAGTGAGTTGATGGAAGGGTGTGATGAATGAATAATCACATAAAGTAAAGTTGTTGCTATACTCGTAGTGATTTTTTACCATCTCAATGATTGGTCCGTTAATTGTAACAAGTCCATCCCACTGTCATTCCCATTCGACGATATGTATCCGTGGGACGAGAAATCGTTTGTTTTGTTTTGAGAGTTATAGAGAAAAGCTGTTAAAGTTATCCTTAGTATAATTTGAAAGTGATTACTGATGACGATTTGGATGATAAGTTAAGATAACAATTGACCAATGTTGAAATGCATAGTAAAACGAATCACTCTTCCTACCTTCTCTACTTTCTCTACCTTCTCTACCTTCTCTACCATCCCTACCATCCCTACCTTCCATTTAACTTCTAAAAGGGTAGGAACTCCCCCACACATACCCAATCATATCACTTAGGTTGTAACAAAAAACCTCTCCCCTCTCTCACACTAAACAACCATAACAAACTTTTCCCCCCATTATGCATAATCATCTCATTAACAGCTTTCCTAACACTTCCAGCATATTCTTTATCCGTATTGTTCATATTGATCAAAAAACTTCTCCATATCTCATCTTCTGTGATCCATGATGGATCCACTATCAGTTGAGATAAGAAAGAAGGTGTCAAGTCCACCGCTAAGATTGGGAGGTTTGATTGAGTCGTGATTGAGAATTCGGAAGCTTTGTCATAGTATACACCCTAAAAATAAGCTATTACACATATCAAAGTATGAAATTCGTGATGACTCCACAGGAGATTCAATTGGGCAATAGTCATGGAAGGGAACGATCGGGTTGGATTACTATGTCTGTTTGATAGTTGTGAATGGGTGGACATAGATTCTATTCCGAATGGTGTAATATGGGACTGATTTAATGATTATTGGAGGGGATTAGTGTAAGAACAAAAAGATTGAGTAGGATGGTGATGGAAGAAAGATGGTAGACAGTGAGAATACTCACCTTGGTCACATGTCGATGTTTCCTCACCGGCTTACTTTTCCCTTTACTACTCTGAGGTTCGGGCGGTAAAACCAATTTGATCACAACCTCTTTGGTATCTACCAACACGGACAAGGCGGCAGCTTGAGCGGAAGGTATGGAACCTTCGGCAGAAGCGTAAGTCGCGTCTATCCTACGTTGTTCCGCAATGGCCATTCGGAGATGAGTACATAGTTCGTTTCGAGGGACTGGGGTGAGTGATGGCTTTGTGCAAGTTTGATTTTGGTATGTTTGAAGCGCTTGTGCTTTGATCAAGAAAGAAAGAAGATATAGTGTGTACCTGGCGATGTTCCAGCTAGATGAGTGTGTGCGAGGGATGAGACAGTGAGGAGGAGAAATGAGAGATGAACGGATTTTATCCATGACCCAAGGAAGTAGTCTAGAGGACGATGAGACGCGGATGAGATGTAGCAGAGGCATCAATGGGTAAAAGATAGAATCACTTACTTTCCTCTTCAGACCTCTTCAGGACATTCCGGACCTTGACCATGGGTCGATTAGCACGAGGCAACACGAGGAATCTAACCAGTCAACTTTACTCGGTCCAACACGCGCGAACACGGAGAAAATCCAAGTAAGACCAGCTGTTATCAAGGAAAAAGGGGTAGGTGGAACGGGTAATGGGAGATATACAACTCACAAAGTATTCTGATCCACACATTCCGTCAAAACCTCCTCGACAGATCTCTCATCGTCGTACTGCAGATCTGCACGTATACCAGCTCTCCACAACTCCCCCACGACTGACAGACGTTGTGTGAGATCAACTTGAGCAGTGGCAGCTACGTAAACATCACAACGCTGGTCGTCAGTCGTAGCTCTTTCTCTCACGTCGGAATCTGATTAATCGTCACGAATGGTAGAGCAGTTTGGAAAGGCGACTGGGATTGAGGGCTGGAGCATACTCGTAATCCTGACGGACATGATCAGATACAAGACGAGTCGACTTGGCAAGCAGCACAAACAGCCACCAGTGAAGTCCTTGTGATCACAAGTACGAAACACTCACAGACGGCGACCAAAACCCAAACGACCGTTCATCTTCATTATCCTTCGTCATGAGTTTCGTAGAGAGAGTACTTTCGTATCGTCGGACCATGATGGCGAGTTGGCTGTTATTAGTAGGGCTGTTCCAGATTCCAAGGAGGCACATAGCACAAATAGATTTGATGTGCAGCAAGAACGTTGATGAGACGAGGGGCGGAAGTGGAGATGTTTTGCCGTAGGGGCAATGGTCAGAAGTCATACAGGTAAACAAGTCAGAACAGATGGCAGTGAAAACGAGGAAACGTGTGCGAATGAGGTTGGAGAGAGACAGATGCACGAGAAGAGCGGAGCAGACTAGAACTGATAGATGGAAGAGGGAAGGGAAGGAGAATAGGGAGTAACAGACCGAGCCGGACAATAGCCATAAGATGGAACAAAACTCCACTCACTCCACATCGATCGACATGCCCACTCCGAATACTTGTCTAGTATGACTCTGAGAGAAATGTTCCAATAAACAATCATACCTTTCCATGAGCTCATGATCATACACTTCAAGGTTTCGGAAAAAAACAGCTCACCGTCCTCCGAATGCCACCACATCACCTTGTCGTCCTCGACGGACACATTCAAACATGAACCCTCCTCTGAAAAACTTGATATCAGCAATGTGCATTTCTACGTTCTCGTATATACGATAGCTAGACAGAAGTCTGACCGAGGGGGAATAGTGACATTTTCATATGCTCAGACCTCAAAACTGACGCAGTTCCAGACTTGGGATAGAGAATAGAGGGGGGATCATTGATGCGGAGAGGGGTAAGGAATAGTTGCAAGTACCAAAGAAGAACGGAGGGGTAATACCTCAAGATGGGACAAGAAGAGTGAAGACTATAAGAGGAGTACAGAGAATTGAAGAAGGATAACCCGAGTGTAAAGCATTGAAGACTCTGACTGACCTCGGCATGTTTACTCAAAGTAGGTCTGAAAACGATTTTCCTTGCTATCCCAAAACTCCTAGCTAATGTGATTACATGAGAAGTTTCTTCCAGTGCTTTGGAAAGTTTCGAAACTGAAGAAGAGGTCGAAAAGTGAGATTCAAGTTTTGATCGAACTGTTTCAGACTCGGCTATATTTCAGCTCAAATGCGATACTTTGACAACTGAACGGAACTGTGTAGGTATCCGACCTGATTTACAGGTGAAGATGATCGCACATGTTGGTCATCACAAAGATGAATGTTCAAGGGTAAATGCGATCAAAGCATTTGAACACTATGCCAATGACATTGAAGGGTAAGTAGTGGTGAAGGAAGATAAGAACGATATCGAATCATGGGAGAGGGTAGAAGGGAACATACCGGTAACACAACATTGATCCAATTCGTCCAGAATATTCTTCGTCAGACCTAAACCTGACAAAGCACTCCTCAATTGTCCAGGAGTGACGAAAGGAGAAACCTCTTTGAAAACTCTTTGAACACCCGCTCGTTGTTTGAGTGGTATCAAACCCAAGATAGTTGATAAGACTATCATTTAGTGAATACTTCAATCATCACTTCAAATAGTCATAGGAGGGAGATGAACGACGAAAGACATACCAATTTCATGAGAAATGTGAAATTCATATTCCATCAAACTCGTCCCTTTAACACCTCTAAATTCCGAGATCAACTTATCGACAACTTCTAACATTTCCGCATCCGCCGCTGGACTTCTTAAAGGTGATATGATATCGAAACTATACCGTCAGCTTTGTTTCTATCCGTGGTGAAGTTCAAAAGAGGAAAGTAATAGTGAAGTAACAGTGAAGAAGTAGGGAAGAAGCAGTGAACAAATAGTAAAGGAGTAGTGGACAAATAGTGAAGAAATAGTAAAGAAATAGTGAAGAAACAGTGAAGGAATAGTGAAGGAATCATGACGGAATAGTAGAGGAATAGTAAAGGAATAGTAAAGGAATAGTGACGGAATAGTGAAGAAGTAATGAACAAAGAGTAAACCAAGAGATACACATACCTGACATCACCAGAAACGATAGGTTGTCCTTCTAGAGTAGGATAATTTTGATATTTCTTACCTATATGATATCTTTTTATCCTTTCTATCTGTCTTCTCGTAGCTGATCTAGCCATTGCTAATAAATCGCTAAATGGTAATAAAACCACTTTCCCTTTAACATCTAACAATCTGACAGGTTTTAAATTGGGAAAAGCTTTCAACAAAGATGTTTCAGGCATGAGCAATGGAAGATCAGTTTCCACCGCTCCGTGACGTTTAAACAAATCTTCAAGACGTTGAATGACTACTGATAACCATACTTGAAGAGAATCATCTTGTTCTCTGTCGAATGTGTAATCGTCCGGTCGATCATCGTATGATGTGGTATATGCATGAGCGTCAGGGTCGAATAGAGCGTCGAGGAGTGTTTGATGATGTTGAGATGTGGGATTGGTCAATTCTCAAAGGTCAATAATTGTACTTGTCAACCATATGTAAAATGAAAATTCTTCGCGGCGCTGACTGGTTTTGGGGTCGTTTGGGTGACTACGCTGCTTACCAGTACAGAAATAGATGGGAGTATCATGCGAAACACCTGGGAGATATGAAGAGAGGGCAGAAAATTGGGTAATAGTGACAGAAGGCATGGAATTGGTGGAAATGAAGTGGGTTGGGGGACGATTCAAAAGAGGGAAAGAGAAAAGTGAATGACAAACCATTAATAGCCCTATCATAAAACATCTCATCCTTATCCTGACTAGGTACCAAAGGACTTAACAATAATTGTCTTGCACTCGGTCTCATACTAGGATCATGTCTTAACAACCAAGTGATAATTTCCTTCTGTTCAGATTTCCAATCAGGTTTCCAACCATCTGGGAAGGTTATAAGAGGTTGACGAAGTGCTGAAAGAATTTGAATTCTTTCCATGCCCGTTTTGAAGGGATAACACATTTCGAAGAATATGATCCCGAGAGAGTACATGTCTACCTGGGATCGCATCAGCATTCCTGTTTTGGCAGGATCTTAGCACACAAATCTCAACACACAGACCGGAGGTAGCGACGTTGGTGAGTTGGTTAAGGGGTGGAGACGATGATGAGGATTTGACGACACCTGGGAAAAGACGGCGTCCAAATTCATTGGGATGGCCAAACTGAGGACTACCCATACGAAGGTGGTGGAAAGTATATAATGAAAATGAAGTAGACCAACAAGAGGACAGCCAAAGGCTTGTCAAGGAGTGGAGTCAAAAAAAAAACAGCGCACCTTGGTATCATAAGATCTCGACCCCGCGACCTCCGGGGCGATATACAAACTAGTTCCAATCCCCGAAGTCTTATCAGAAATTTCTTCCGTCGTTTCACCAGGTGTGGTTTCAACTCCTACCAAACCGGTAGTGGCCAATCCGAAATCTGATACTTTGGCATTCCCATGTGCGTCCAGGAGTATATTGGCAGGTTTCAAATCACGATGCACCACACTCTTTTCGTGTGAGAGGTAAGCGAGTGCTTGGAGGATTTGATTGAATATCCTCCAAGAGTCGGAATCGTTAAGACCTGCAGCTATGGCTTCTTTGAGAGTTTGCTATTCGTCAGTACATCGATCGAACCCTGTCAAAATATCAAGTCTACTATCACGTATTCCTGATTCCAGGGAAAAAGAGGCCCAGGGTGAAACAAATAGGAAAGAATGAGAACATGGAAGTGAGTGAATTGTATGGGGAGAAAAGAAAGATAGAAGGAGTGGAAAAGAGATGACTCACATTCTCCACAAACTCCATCTGAATGTATAAAATCCTCTTTATGACCATCTCATCAATCGTTGTACTCGTCATTTCTTCCGAGACCTTTAAACCCTTGGCGGTCTTACGAGAGATAGTTTCCGCATCACTAGTATCGCTACTCCCTTCACTATCCTCCTCTTCATCTTCATCTATATCCTCATCTTCTTCCGTTTCCGCAAATCGAATTCTAGGAAACGAAGTACTTTTCGACGCATCTCTTCGCCATAATGACGGATCATCCATTCTGGGAGGAGCGAAAGGGTCAGAGTCGTCTTTATTTGTAGGACTTAGAACACCTGGAGTGTTGGACGTTGAATCGGGTGGTGTGTGAACTGGAGGAGCTACATCTTCTAGCCAACATGAGAAATAACGGACAATGTTGATGTGATTCAGTCCGGACAAAGTGTTGACTTCTCTCAATACTCGAAGCTCGTTATCTTCAGGTCGGAGTCGGACTTTCTCTCGAATGTCAGCCGGCACATTTGAATCATTCCTTCGCTCGCTCCCTCTGAGAAAAAACACAAGAAAAGAGGTGTGATCAACGTGTTGGAGGAAGAGCCAGAAAATGAAAGAAATGGAATAAGAAACATACTGATAGCGTATGCTCGACCATCTTGCAAATGTCGAGCTTTTACAACTTCACCAAATCCACCTTTACCCTGATATATGAGCATGGAACCCCATCTTCAACTGGTACAATGATGAAACAAGCCAAAACTCTCAGGAGCGGGACCGATGAGAAGTAGAGTGCTAGACACGTAGGGAGGGCCGGGGGCGATTCGGATCAAGTGCGACAGAAGACAACAGGGGATGCAGTGTCGAAACTCACCAAAAATTCAACCTCTTCAAACTCTTTCCTATACCTACCCCAATTCTGAGCCCCTACCTGAGGTTTACTCTGAATGAACGAAACCATATTTCCTGCCATTGGGCTGTGAGCAAAACTCGACGAGGTTGAGCTACCTAAGGACGTCATCTAACACCGTACTCGTACTCCCATGTGTTCAGCTTACCTAATGGAACCTTTGTCAACGTTCTTGATAGATCCAAATCATGTTTGAGCATTTGTAACGCTTCGTTGGCGGAGAGACGTTTTTTTGGGAGAGGTTGTAGAAGTCCTGAGAGGACGGCGGTGATTGTTTCGGAGATGATCCCTGGGGCTCAGTTTGGCTCCCATGACATGTGTAGTTCATTGCGATAGCTGATGCAGGTCAGGTTGAGAGGGGATCACAGCGCAGTGGTTTGGACCTGGACGAGCCATGGTGGAGGTATCAAACACAAGGTGACGGAGGCCGCCATGGACAATATTGGAGAAGGTCATAAAGAAGACACGAAGGAATGTGAGAAGAAATAGTCAACCTTGGTGCAAGCGGGGGAGAGATGGTGAAGTGAAGACCACGTATTCACCCTGTTGTAACAGAGCAGAAGGAGTAGGATATCTCCAAATGACCTGTGGACCAAAAATCATCTGAACCATCAATACACCGGCATACCACATATCTCTCTTGTTGGTGTATGCGTAAACATTTTCCGCTTCGTCTGGTGATTTCCTATTGGTCAGCCCCAACTTTCTTCGGCGAATCCCTTCAAGCTGTCATAGTTGACAAGCAGGGAGCCATGATGTTTGGAATCCATACATGACGGTACTCCAATCACAGATGATAAGTAGGAGAGCATTCCGTTTGAGAGCGATACGAGGCGGCGAGGTACAAAGACTTTCCAAAGTGTCGAGGGAGAACGATATATAAGCTGCAGGGTGAGAGGGGAGCAGGGTGTAGGAAGGGATGAGAATTAGAGGGAAGAGATAGAAAGAGAAAGGATAGGAAAGATGTGAAAGAGGGAAAAGATAAATGGAGGGAATACAGGAAAACTCACCAAGCATCAGGCAGAGGATCAGAATAATTCTTCAGAAAAGGGTTCGAACGATGCAGATCGATCAAACGTCTAGCGTACAAAGTACCGCCGAGCTTTGCTTCGTTGCCTTCTGACGTAGGTGAGAGGATGATGGAATCGACGTCTAGTAATCTTTGACACATTCCTTTTTCGTGTAGGTCCGCTAGGGTTCGAAGTATTTGACGCATGTAGTTCTGATTTGTCAGCTTTGTCTCTGAGCGTCATGCAGCCAAGTTTTCTGGTTATGACGGATCAGAGAGAGACAAGTGGGCAGAAAAGAGACAAGAGAAAATACCAGCAGCGTGGGAGACGGATCTAAAAAGGCGATGGTAGGTAAGGAGAAGAACGGCGAGGAGGTAGACGATGAGGACAAAGTAAGAGGAGGAAGTGGATGAGACAGGAAAAGGGTACAATGTCAATCGAAGAATGCGAATGTTTCAAGTACAATGACAATCACTCACCATAGCTATATTCTCACCTAAACCATCTTGTCCCAACAAAGTTTTCAGCCTTCCTTCATCTTTCTCATATTCCAACAAGACAATAACCCTTTCCCAACCTTTCGGACTCTTCTCTCTCTTTACACCCCAAACTTTCCTACATCCTTCCAATTTAACCTCTTTCAACCTTTCTATCTCACTTACGACACCATCAACTTTCCTCCTCCCTTGAGTAGTGGAATAAAACGTAGAAGAAAAATCAATGATTTCAACATATACACAAGGTTTTGAAATCCTAACGAAATCTGTATTTTGTGTATTTTCCACATTGACGAATTCCCCAATATACGTAACCCATAATTTTTCTTGTTTCCCATTGAATAACATTAAAGTATTCCATATTCCTTCATATCCCGGTATCATGATTGGTTCGGATAGAGTTAGAGTACGGTTTTCTAATTCCCCATCTTGTAGAGTGGAAACTGTTTCGAGATGACGTTGATGTGCTTGATCAGATTCGACTTGTCGTAGGAGTTCTTCTTTCCTATTGGCATCTAATTGGATTTTTTCATGTAATATACGAGTTTTTTCAGCAAATATGGCAGCTTCTTTAGCTTTGTCATCTTGATATTGAGCTTCTGCGGCCTGGGGGTTAGCGTTATGTACCTTTTAAGATAGTTGTGTGGTATTTCGATTTACATGTGTGTGAAGTGCCTCAGTCGGGGACACATGGGAGCAAGAGAATGATTCCATTATTGGACTGTTTATAGATAAGGAGGGGGTGTCGTATGGTGATCAATGGGCAGTATGTAAGAAAGGGAAGAAGAGGTGAAGGAGGCGATCAGTCTTCCCACATGATATCATGATGAGGGAAGAAACCACAACTTACGGCTCTTTTCTCCTCTTCTCTCTTCGCCATCTCTTCCATCAAAGTAGGTACTTTCTCCCCTTTCTTCGATAGAGGTAAATGATTACGGGATATCCAATCTTTCGCCATGTCGACGAGCTTCCAATTAGTCCTTGTCAATTATCGTTTGACATACCCTTGTAACTAACAGAATATCTCTGTGACTCATACCAGAGACTCATATCAGGGACTCGTAGCACAGATCTTGTGATGGTCAATGTGGAGATGAAAGGTAGTGGTCGCAGAAGTTGAGTGGAGTTTCAGACGAGATAAAGTATATATAGAGTCGAAGTTAGATCTGCACTCACATCAAAAATCATAGGACCGCCTAGGGAGCTCTTCGCTTTATCTTGTAACAATCTCAACAACGTCCTGACGTGTGTGGGTGAGAGGTTTCTAGGTTCAACCAATGTTAGAAGTGGTGGTTGATTGGGATACAACTTTGTGTCAGTGGGGACTTGTGCCCGATCCCAGTCCTCTCTGACTCTTCCAAGCTCACTCACAGACAAAAATGGAGAAGAGGCCTCGTCTAGAGATAAAGGTAAGGAGAGGTGAAGATAAGGAGGTAAGGTGTGGAGGGATAGGAATGCCAGTCATGCTGTCATTGCCAAATTCCATGACGATAATAACGTCTGTCAAATAAAGAAGTTCCCATGACTCACCTTTGGAAACCTGAACCTGAACCCTAACCCCACTCTCTCATCTTCACCCTGTATACTAACCTCCCACCAACCAGCTTCTACCTCCGTCCCCCATGCTGTTTTCTTTGGAGGTATATCATGCCATTCTTCAGTGAAGATGGAGCGGAGAATCTCCAGTTCTTCCTGTTGGACTGCCTGATTAGGCGTCGGCATGGAACATTGTTTGTCGGGTAGGAGTAGTAGTAGTGGTAGTAGTAGTAGTAGTAGTAGTAGTAGGTATTATGGGTCGGAGTTGTGCACAGTTGACCTCTGTATAGAGACGAATGTAGGAGAGTATGTACTGCAGGTTGTTGGTGGGTGCGGATGTGATGTTGGGTGAGTGGGGGGATTGTGGGGCTCCACTTGAAGACCGATGATGATGACGGAGACGAGTAAAGTGATCACATTTCATGACATTTCAGCTTTTCAACTACCAACCCTTCTTCTCTGATCTCTGATATCGTTGAACGGGGGCTACAGTGGGATGTATACGAGGGCTTAAGAGTGAGAGAGCTAGTTATCACCAAGAGGAACATGTCACAAGCAAGTCCATCAAGAGTCCGTCTGGTCTTGTTTGACGTTTTCGGTCAGTCTCTCTTCTGATAATAATTATATAACTCACGAGTAGATACCCTATGTACACCACGTATACCTATACATGAACAGTATGTTGTCTCATAGGTTAACCGAACAAAGTCTGACGAGAGATATCACCAAGAAGCTATCAAAGCTGGTATACCCACCAACATCATCACCCCTGATTCAGTCAGGAATGGCTTCAAACCTGGTCAGTCTATCATCCTCAACCGTTATACACTTTCTGTCATTTTACAAGCTCAATCTCCTCTCCCAAGTTGATATTCTCTCTCATTTAACCTTCTTTCCCATAACCCTGAACTGTGGACCGACTGTCGAATCGGACTAACTCACTCGAGCCAAAACAATGGGCTTCTCTGGATACTTCAGACCCCACCCGTGGATATCATGAAAGTACCCTATGGTCATGTTGGTGCAATCGACTATGATTATCGGAATGTTTTTCCATCGGTCCCTCTCATAACAAGATAATAAAATATGGTGTATGGAAAGACTAACGCCAAGTACAGCCTTCAAAACCATCCACAACTTACATCCACTCTACGGCAAACATTCCATTCCTCCAATCACACCGGAAACATGGTGGACACTTGTTATCCGTACCAACATGCTCCATGCCGGTGTACCGGAAACGTTACTTGACGAGGTGATGAAGATACTAGGACCTAGGTTGTTGAGACGGTTCGAGAGTCAAGAGGGATATAAATGTTTTCCAGAAACGTTGAGGGTTTGTAAGTTGTTTCCTTCCTCCTGCTTTCCTCTTCTCCTCAGATTTACGACATTGTGTTTTATCCAGTACCCAGAGATGTTTCTTCAACTTTCTCTCATATCGAGTACCCAGAGATGTTTCTACAACTTCATCCTCAGACGAACCCTACTCCTAAGTAACACGAGCAGTAATCTTAGATGTCTCTTTTACGTCACCCTAAGCATTGAGTCATATTTACAAAACGAGTACCAAGATTCCAGTATGAGCTTCAGACTGACAATCAGTGAAAGAATTGAGAAAATCGAATGTGAAAATCAGTGCGGTATCTAATTCCGATCCTAGGATATGTGAGCTTGTCTATGTTCTTCTTTAAAGTTGCAATAAATCCCCTATCTCTCTGCCCAATCCCTCCACTATACCCACTATACCCACTATCCCACTATCCCGAAATGCCACCATGTCACTACCACCCCGCTTCACAACCCCACAATGACCACCCACTGATAGTACCTTCTAATTCCACTGACCTTAGTGAAAACACTCTCCTCCCTACAAATCCTCCCCCTCCTCACTCATCCTCCTACACTTTCATACTACACAAACTGCTCGAAACCCGATCCGGAGATATATCGAATAGCTTGTGCTTCATGCGATGAACAACCGGGTGGAGGGGTATTGATGGTTGGTGATGAATTAGAAGCGTGAGTTTTCCCATGTCCACTTCGTTTGAGAAGATCATAGAAAGGAGTAACTTCAATCGAACCAATCATTCAAACCTTCCACGTCCATCAAATCATCTTTTCCTCGACTTGGATCTACCTCTTTCTCAAAATTTCTTTCGTCAGTGAACTCTACGTCTTTTTAGACTATCATTCCCTCCGACATATTCCCCGCCATTGTGAATTACCTTGCTATTATCAAGAAATCTCCGTCTTGATCATGCCCCCCAAAATGAAACAGTGGAGCAACATTGAAATGGAGGGGGGCAGTGAGGGGACGGAATGATATCAGAATACTCGATGACTGATATAAAATAGAGATTATAATGGTTCTTTAAAAGCTTCCCTGGAACCTCGTCTGATTACTCGTGTGGGATCTTACTCTGCTCATACGGAGAGATCACTTTTGGGAGATATAGAAGGGAAAGAGGTTATCGAAAATTTATGGGATATAGTTCAAGAGGTGAGAGAGAGGAATACGAGATGACC